TGGGTGTGTGTGTGTGTGTGTGTGTGTTTATATATATATATATATATATATATATATGAGACTTATTTCAAAAACATTAAAAGGGTACTTATTCCAATTAATTATTTCTCAAAATATATTAAAATAGAAAAGTTATTTTAAATTATAATACAAAATATAATTATAATATAATTAATGTAATATATATTAAGTTGTGTGTGTTTGTGTGTGTATACATAATAATATGTATGAGACTTCTTTCAAAAACATAATAATGGTAATTATTCAAATGAATTAAATTAAACTATATTTAAATTGAGAACAGTTATTTTTAATTGTTAATATATATATGTAATTTTTGGTCAATTTTCAGTTTTTTTTTTCTGGGAAATTTTAAAATAAATATCTAAGACTAAGATAGTGTTCATAAAAAATAACTGACAACTCCATTAAGCTGCCAAATATGAAACAACAACTTTTGGGTTTTCTTAAAATCTAGCTTTTCGCAAAGTAAAAGTAAGCATCACTTTGCATCATTTTCTTTTTTCTTTCTTTCTTTCAAAAAAAATACATATATACAGATTTGATTAATTTTATTTCAATTTTAGTTGTACTAAGTGAGAAATATTGCCTTGGAAACTATAGATTAAATAAAATAAGTTTATGTTTTTTTTATACTTTATTTCATTTCAGGTAATGTTTATTTTATTTAAAGTAATGAAAATGTTAATTGAAATCTTTCTTTTTGTAATTTTGTTGTGTGTTTTTATTTCTTTATGTCATTTTTATTAGTTTGTGTGTGTGTGTGTGTATGTGTGTGTGTGTGTATGTGTGTGTGTGTATGTGTGTGTGTGTGTGTGTGTGTGTGTGTATTCTCTACACTGTAAAAAATCTAAAAAGTTGAGAAAACTTAAAAGTTTAAGGCAACCAGCTTCAGGACATTTTTGAGTTCTCTCAACTTCTTGTATTCAGTTTATACAACAAAACGTTGATAAAACTCAAAAATCTCCTGAGGCTGGTTGCCTTAAACTTTCATGTTTTCTCGACTTTTGATTTTTTACAGTGTACAAATCGTACAAATACAAATATTCTATTAGTCTCAATTTCTATAAGTTAAAATGAGTTGTGTGCATAAGATAATGTTTGAAATAATGGAGTATGGCTTGTCAAACCAGAGGACATAGCCATTATTCTGAAATAAAATGTCAAAACTTCTCCTAGTCTCCTGCTACAATGAGGACGTCTGATTTCCACTTCAAAATGACCAAAGTCTGAGTGGTCACTGTGGTAGTTTGGAAGCGGCCACAGTTCCTCTAATCTGCACGGCACAGACTTTCAGACTTGTCTTGATCTTTAGACAAGCCCAAAGTGATGTCCCTTTGTAGTGGAGCCATGTTCCACCGGCTCTGGCTGAACAGGGCGTCTCTTCGCCGGGTGTGAAATGTCTGGACGCTTGCTCTATCCCTGTCATAACTGGTGTGTCCTGATTCCCTCAGGCGCTGTCAGTGGAGGAGCTCAGTGAAGACTGGCGCTCTCTGAGAAGCGTATCCAGCCAAGAGACCATCTGTCACTGCGAATAACTGCGTGACAGCACAAACACAGTCCTACCTCACTAAAACCCCGACTAGCACCGAGAACTGATGGATATGAGAGCTTGGAAATTAAAGAACTGATCCAAACAAAGCATAGTGGAAAGGAATGAATGAATATAAAGCAAACAAACAAAGCAAATAACTTCCTAAAAATTATTGCTAATGGTACCTTTGAAAGACTACATTTGAGTGGTAAGCAAGGTGTTTTATATAGTTTCTAGCTGAAACGGCTCATTTAGCATTATTTATTATACAGTAGGTGAACCTGGTGTTAGTATGGTGTAGTTAGCCCCTACTGGTAGATGTCCTTACTACACTTGTGCCAACAAGCAAAAATGACAGATTTGAAATTACACAAGGTACTTACCGGGGATTCATAACGGAGCAACCGCCATTGAGGTTAATAAATGCTAACCGCTAATGCTAGCTTTGCCCAGTTGGTTTGTGAAAAGACCAGCTATATGTTCCAAGAAAAAAACAGGCTGTGCACCTTTAGCAGACTATTCATTACAATATGACGTATAAGTGACTCGGAAAATTTTGGGAAAAAACACAAAGCATTTACTTCAAAGTAGCCTAATGTTACTTAAATGACTTTCAAATAATTTGACTGAAATTATTATTATTATGATGATGACTGGTTGCAGGCAGTGTTATAATAATATAATATCACTGAGATCCATTATTATTGTTTTTAATATTTCCATTGTAATTTTGTTGTTGTTAATTTATTAGTTTACCTTTTAAAAAAAAAAAAAATATATATATGTTTTTGTTAATTTAATTCAGTTTTAGTTTTACAAAATGTAAATGAGAAATGTTGCTTTGGAAACTATCTTAAATTCAGGCAATGTTTTCATTTCAAGTAACAAAAATGTTAATTTCCGTTTAGTAACAGTAATTTTGTTTAGTAATCAAGTATTTTTTTGTGAGTTTGTAATTTTTATTAGTTTTTTTCAAACATGTTTATATATCTTTTATTTATTTTGATTTATTGATTTTACTTCATCTTTTGTCACGCCTGTTTTGGGTTTGGTTTCATGTTCATGTTTTCATGTCTTTTATTTTTAGTCATGGTCCCTGTTTGTGTCATGCTTCCCTTGCCCTCATGTATTCATGCCATTGGTTCTCTTGTTCATTGTGTCATGTTCTGATTGGTAGTCTTAGTCATGTGTCCTGTCTCTCATTGGTTGGTTCTTGTCATGTGACCTGTATTGTTTGCTATAAGTAGCCATCATGTTGCCATTGTCTCTCGTCTTGTATTGATTATGTAACCTGCTGTTGGTGAGTCTAGTTTGTTTTGTGCCAAGTCAAGTCTGTTCAAGTCAAGTCTCTGTTTGGATTATGTTTGGATTTTGGATCACGTTTGTGAATAAACTGCACATGGGTTCTCACTTCAACTCGCCTTCAGTGGACTATTCGTTACAGAATACAAGACCGTTAAAATGAACCCAGCAGTTGTTCGTCTCCTCCGCCTTCGTCAAGGTGATCAGGCTATTGAGGATTATGTTCAGGACTTTTGTGTACTCTGCAACCAAGTGGATTTTAATGATGTGGCCCTTAAGGACATCTTTCGGGTGGGTCT